TTATTATAAGCCAGAGTGAGGACTATAACCCGGGAAAGCCATAGAAGGGGTTCTGGAGAAGCATGGGTTTCAGCACAGTCTTCTATCTTTACAGAACAAAGAAGATACGTTAAACACACCCAGGATACATTTTCATCAAAATTTCAAAGAGGTATTCAGTTGCAAATTAGCAGGTCAACATGACCCTGATGTCAGGAAAGGGACTAACCCGAGTGTTACCAATAGGGCATTACCAATAGGGTGTTGTTACCATTAGGGCGTAGGAGGGGAAGGATGCATCCTTATCTTAAGAGAATGAGTTTTTTTTTAAAAGATTGGCACCTGGGCTAACCGCTGCTGCCAATCTTCTTTTATTTTTTTCTCTTCTCCCCAAAGCCCCTGAGTACATAGTTGACAATTCTAGTTGTAGGTCCTTCTAGTTGTGGCATGCGGGACGCTGCCTCAGCATGGCCTGACGAGCGGTTCATGTCTGAGCCCAGGATCTGAACCAGCAAAACCCTGGGCCACCAAAGCGGAGCGTGCGAACTTAACCACTCGGCGAGGGGGCCAGCCCAGAGAGTGCATTCTTTACTGCAGTGTTTAAGCAGATGTACAATGTATGTTTGATAAGCCACAAGTCAGGCTTTTTAGTTCAAGCCAAATCAGCTTTGAACCTTAATAGTTACCCAATATACCTCAATAAGTGAGAATCTCAATAGGTGGAAATCTCTTGTCATAAGTGTATAATTTAACCCTAGACCAATGTACCTTAGTAGCAGAGGCAGTATTTTATTAGCATTTGTATTAGCACCTGATGTTAGCCTCCAGCTTTTATGACGCTGTGTGGGCTCAGGCGACCGTATTGACTTCCCTTTTGTAAGTTTAGTTAACAGTGTCTGGAGGGCAGATTTATATGCTGTCTTACAGTCAGGCATGGGAAACGTCCCCTTTCCCCAGTGAGACACAATGTCTGCCCCCACAGTACAATCTCTAATACAATCAGGCAAAAAGAGATGCGATCACCTCACATAAGAGCCCATAAATATATTAATTTTTCTACAAAATTTCATCTGAGTTCCATCAACTCTTACACCTCTAATCATAGCTTTCATTAGGATTTTATCAACAGGTCTTGGTCTTATAATTTTGGATAGAGGAAGCATTCGCAGCAAGACATTCTAAAACACACTCAGGAAAAGTTGATATAACCTCTCTACATAAAATTAGCTCAAACATTACAACCTTTTAATCTTATCAACATTTATACTTTTACATTTTCTCAAATGTAACATGAGTCAGGATTTTAAGTCTAGTCATCATTATGTTTGTGTGTGTTTCATTTTTAATTTGGCTTTCTCATGGGCACCAATAGAAAGTACGATGAGAGCTCTCACAAGTTTTTTCCTCCAATTTAGAAGTTTTCCCAATTTAAATGATCCATCGTCTGGTCACGTTAATGAGTAGGATCTTAACAACAACTTATACCAATAAACTTAACCATGGCTGCAAGAGATGTCCCCAAAAGAGATCCAGAAGGTTCACCCCCAAAATTAGTCTAAGAAAACAAAGGGTTTGATTGCACAACAAGTAATGAAGGTTGAGAGGACAAATGCCCCTTTTGAAATCAACTGGGACCCTTTACGACAAACTCCCCTTAGAGCTGACAAAGCTGGACAAAGAGAAGGTCTCCCAGAACCCCAGTCTACTCGACTGGCTGCCAAGATGTGTGCTGGTACGTGCATCCTCCCAATGGCAGAGATCAGAAAGGTCACAAAGCCAAGCTCTCAAGACCCAGAACAAGACAAAAGAAAAACCTCATCTGATACGCACATTAACAGCGTTAGCTAAGCCTTGGGTCTCTTGGGGCCAGAATAATACCTGGGAGGGAGATGCCACAGGGTTGGGGATTGTGTGTGCTTTACAGAGTACCTCGTCATTGCATAGACGTTTTCTTGAAGTTGGTTGGGGGAGACACCTGTGTCACCTACCTTGTTCTGTGACCAACTTAGCCTTTCACGGGAGACTTCCTGAGGTGGCATGCACTCTAATGGCTCCTAACTGCTCCACCTGTGCCCACCAAATTTGCAGCTTTTTGTCTCTCAAGATGCCCTTAGCAACAGCTTTCACCTCATGCACATAGTCCCAGACAACAGGCTTATAGAGATGTCTGTGTCTTATGACAAATGACAACAAAGAGAGGGACAGGAAAAATAGTGACTATCTCTGGGAGGAAAAAGATCTACAACCAATGAATACTCAAGCAAATTTCCTAGAGTCGCTGAGTCCAAGAAGCTAGCTTCACCAATATTTCTCCTGCTAATCTAAATTTAGAAAAGCAAAAACCCTCACCACTCTCACTTCCATTGGACTCTGTGGGCAGAGATCCGGGAGACCGACATGGTAGGAATTCTTACTTCCTGTCAGCTCTTATCAGGGGTCCAGGATCTCTTGGCTGCAGAAGTCCAGGAGTGAGCAGCATCCAGGCAGCGAAGTTTTGTCCCATCCTTGTCACCAAACCATAGGGGAGAAAGACAAATCCTCTGCCCACTCCAGGTCCTTCTGGCTGGGGTTACAAATTTAATTGACACGAGACAGAATAACAGGAGAAAATCAAACAAAGCTTTATAACAGGTATACATGGGAGAGACCCAGGAAACCTGGTAACTTGCCAAGATGGCCGAGCTGCCAGCTTCAACACTATCTTCAGCTAAAGACAAAGGAGGCTGTTGGGAGTAGTGGTTTGGGACTTCAAAGGGGAGGAAGGCAATTCATGTGGAAATGGAAAAGCAAATGTTTGCCAGACAGAACTTTGATAAGAGTGGGCTTAGCAAGGATCCTCCCAGTCTACCAATACCCAGAGTTACCTATGGTGATGGCCTGTCCCAGGGACAGGCCTTTATTTTGAATTTATTTTAGGTAGTTAGGGGGAAGGTCAAAGTTTCTTTTAGAGTCTTTTGTTCTTAAAAATAAGCCAAAGAGACGCACTTCGATGTGGCCAATTCTGATCCCCCACAGGCCCTTATCACACTACCCAGCCAGGTCAGAGCTGCTCCCTGCCCTGCATCCTGCAGGCTTTCCATGCCCACGATGCCAGAGGAACATTGCAGCGCTGCTCTGAGGGTGCTCCCTACCCTTCTATGGCTCCCCAGTGTTACCTCTCAAGTCTATACTGAGCCCATGTGCCATCTGGCCTCATCTCCTACACTCCCTTCAGCTGTGCTGGGTTCCCACCTGCCTGGGGAGGAGGCAGCGAAGGGAATTGCCACTGACTGAGCACTGACTATGTAGCAGGCACAGGTGAGCGATCCACACAGAAATAATACTAATAGTAGCATCGGCAAAGTGCTCACTAGGGCCCGGTGGAGCTCTAAGAGCTTTCTCTATGTTACCTATTTTAATCTTCCCTTAACTCTATGAAGTAGGGATTCTTGTCATCCTCATTTTGCAGATGAAGAAACTGAGGAGACAAGAGGCTAAGTAACCTGCCCAAGTCATCCAGCTGGTAACAGGCAGAGCCAGGATTCCCACCCAGAGAGTTCGGCTCCAGAGTGGAAGCATTAAATGACTCTTACCCCACCACACGTCTCATTGAATCCCCCTGCAACCTCAGGAGGCAGGATCTGTGAATATTCCCTTTTCAGATGAGGAAGACAACTCTCAGAGAGGGAGACACGGCTTGCAAATGATGTGATCAGGCTCAAACCCAGCCCTTTGTGCCTCTGGGGCTCCACCCTGTCCAGGCTGAGCCCATCCAGTGCCCTGCACCTTCCCCCAACCCTACCCTCTGGAATGCCCTCTGTCTCCCTACCTCCACAGTGGTTTTGAAATTCCATCCACCCCAAGCGTAATCAAACGCCCACCTCCCCTCCCCTTTCACAAAGCCTTGCCTAACCTTGGTCTGGAAGACGTCCCATCCTCTGGATTCTGCAGCCCAGGGACTCCCGCCCCAGTCACCCTGTGGCCAGTGTCCCTCCACCCTCCACTCCAAGGAGGATGCTGGTTCCCTCCTTTGTCCTCATTCCGTCTACCTTTGCCAACAGGCCTCCCTCCGCACCTCACCCCTCTCTGAGTCATTCTCAGCTTGACCCCACTCCCCTTCCTTTGGTTTATTTGTTTGTACCATTTTTTGAATTCTCTCACTTTTACATATGGGCTGAACTTTCGGGCATGACACACATTTATGCATTATTTCACCTGGCCTGGGAGGCAGGTGCTATTACTCTCTCAGTTTTACAGAGGAGGAGACTGAGACAGAGAGAGGAAAAGCGACATTCCTAACCTCACACAGCATGTGGAAGACCCGGGGCTGGCACGCGGGCTAGACTTGTACCGCTCTTGCTTTCCCTGCCCTGTGTAACATTCTCATGTCATCATCCCCAGGGGGGCCCTCACCCCCTCAGAATCAGAGAGCCTTCCCCAGGCACAGAAGCCATTCTACCACGTGGTGGCCAGAGCTGTGCAAGTGGTGTGGGTAATCAGAGTGCCCAGCGGGCACGAAGAGCACAGTGGGAGCATGAAGACTCTTCCCTGGGGTGTGGGGTAAGGCTTCCGAGGAGAGGCCGTGGAGCGAAGCCCTGGCGCCGGAGTAGGAGTCCGCTGTCCAGGAGAGCCGGAAGAGCGCAGTGCAGAGGTGAGAGGCGCAGAGGAAAGGGTGAGAGCTGTAGCTTGGGGTGCGGGCGCTGAGGGAGAGCAGGAGGCAAGACTACACCTGTCACTCTAGAGCTCAGGGCTGATCTCATAGCCAGTCAAGTGTCTGTGTTGGACATCTAAGGCCCCACAGACTCCTGTGCTTACATATGGCTTGGTGACTTTGGTGACCCCAGGAGATGTGAAAGAAAAGCAAAAGTTCCACCTCCCCCGTGGGTGGTCCAGAGATTCAGGCCCCTGGGTGCCTGTGTGTGGTGGCAGCCCCAGGAGCTTCACACACTGACCCCTGAGCTTGCCAGGGCAGGGTAGCATCCATAAAGCTGGATGATGAGTGGACTGACGGATGAAGGAAGGAATAAAGGCCACACCAGGAGCACTCTGGAATCTGGTTTATTAGCTGACGGTTGGAGCGGGTCTTGGGAAGCACCCAGCAGCTCCGATGGGGCCAGGGGCTGGGCCTCCGCAGGCTGCTCTCTCCTCACTCCACCCTCCTCCTTTGAGGGGCATGGCAGCTTGCGCTGCGGGCAGTGGGAGCATCCTGCAGGGGAGGGGCAGAAGGCAGCGAGCACCAGCCGTTCTAGCATCCGGCACAGGCAGCGAAGGCACAGATCTCACACATGCGTGGGTCCTGGGCGATGGTCTCTGGACGGGAGAGATGGGGCTCCGTGAGAGTCTGTCAAAGCTTCCACCCTCCCTTAAGCCAGAGCTTGGACATCCGCCACTGAGCCCCCAGGAGAAACCCAGGCCTGTCCTCTCTGACCGGCTGGGCTTTCCATGCCCACCAATCAGAGCGGAGATTCTACCCAGAAAAGAGCTACAGCTAAGACCAGACGAACCGGGATGCAGCGTTACCAACGCATCAGTGTGAGGATTTCCCTAAAGTTAGCCTTGCCAATTACAACTTAGAACACTAATTACAGCAGAGGGCTTACAGACCCACCAATCAGAGCAGAGCCTGCCTCCAAATCCCACCAATCAGAACACAGGTCTCCCTCAAGTGCACCAATCAGGGAATTCCCAAGCCCCACCAATCAGAGAGGAGGCTGCTCACCCAGCCTCTGGAGGATCTCCCGGGCGTTGCGCTCTTTGCAGATAGGCTTGAGTTCTTCCGGAAACTTCGGGTACCTACAGAGGATGGGAGCCAGGGATCCATCAACCTCTCTGCGGTTCCTAGTGCTGGGCGCCTGGAGCTCCCGGAGGTCCTTGAGCTTCTTCACTGACTCCAGAGAAAAGGAGAACTCTCCATCCTGAGAGAGAAAGGTGGAGTGTGAGGCCAGGCTGCAGCCTGTTCCCTGGCCGTTCCCCCAGGACCGGCGCCTCTCCAGCCTCAGGGGGCTCAAGCAGTGCTTGCGGCGTCTAGGAACCCGACGCTTCTCTGCAGGGCAATATGAGGGGCTCAGAGCTCAGGCCTCACAGGCAGACACTGGACTTGAATCCTAGTTTTGCTGTGACCACGGACAGGTCATTATGCTCTGGGAGGCTTAGGTTCTGCATGTTTCATGAGGAATGGAGAAAACGGATGTGAAGTGTCAGGGACACAATAGCTCCCTATTAGTGGGTGCCACTGTGCTGAGTTTTAGGGAGAGGCACAGAGCTGGGACCAAGACCCGGGCATCCTGGTTCCCTGTGGCCATGCGCAGGCTGTCTTCACCCCTGCCTGAGAGCGGTGCCAGCTGATCACCTGGCCCCCAGCTCCAGCCTGCTGCCCGGGTGATGTCTGAGAAGGAATCAGAGGCCCTCCTGGGACCTGCTGTGATGTGATAGAGAGCAGGGGCCTCTGCAGGTGCCAAACTAGCCTGCTGCTGGCATCCATGCCACTGGACACGCCCTTCCGTCAGGACCTCAGGATGTCAGGCCCGTGCCCTGGCTGAGTACAGGACTGAGTTAAAATCTGGAACTGAATCCAGCTCCTTCACTTCCCAGCCATGTGCCCATCGGCTCTGAGGCTCAGTGTTCCTCCTCTCAAAAATGGGACTGATAATCTCTTCTTCCCAGGGTGCTCATGGGCCACAGCGAGATACTGGAGGAGCCTGGCCTATGGTAAGCACTCAGTCAATCAGCTGATCACCCACCTCTCCCAAATGGTTATTTCTCTTCTCTCTACCTGGTGTTTTCTCCTCCAAGTTTGAAAGGGAAGGTGTCTGAGGCAGGACTGAGAAGGGGCTCCCAGAGGAAGAGCCAATCCTTGAACAGAACCCCACTCCAGCCCCAGAGAGGGGGTACTCTCTCAGGGGACAGGCCCTGGGCTCTGGGGACAGAGAGCTGTCTGGCCAGGATAGGGGCAGAGGACTTACCTGCACCGTGACTCCACCTGCCAGGGCGGCCTGCACCCAGAGGAGGCACAGTGCAGAGAGCAGGAAGGTGTTCATGGCAGCAGTGCCCGAGAGAGAGAAGTGGCTGGTTCTGGATGCCAGGGGGAAACAGTGAGGCTTTTAAAGAGGGCAAGGTTACTGAGTAACCCAGGAGCCTTTGTCAAGTGTCTCATGTGCTTGCTTGTCAAGTCAGGCCTAATAAAATAAGGCTCTAGACAGCCCTGGCAGATAAGAGTTCAGTCCCAGGAGGCTGGCAGAGCTTCAGCCCCTCTCTGGGCTCCCATTTTAACCCACAGCCGGCTGATCCTGCAGTCATTCACCAACCACACGCGCTCACTGACAGCTGCTCTGGGCCAGGATGGGGTGGGGCTGGGGCGGGGCTGCAGACCCGGCCCAGCCCTTGAGGAGGGAGGCCCAGACAATACAGGGTGGTCAGGTGGCAATGCAGGGTGATTAGGGAGTGGGCGCGGATGGGGGTGGGGAATGGAGGGGCCAACTCACCCAGCCCAGGGGCAGAACAGTTCAGGAAGGTTCCCAAAGGAGGTCGTGCAGGCGCTGAGTTCTGGAGAATGGGTGGAAATTTTCTCAGAGAAGGGGCTGGGGGTAGAAGGCCATTTCTTGCATTACCAAGAGGTCATCCTCTTGGTAGAGGATGCCACATGTGGGACAGCCAGGAGATGAGATAGGTCTGGAATATTCAGGGAAATGTGAGTAATTCAGTCTAGTGGGAGAAGGGGGACTGCAAGGGGTTTCAGATGATGAGAGATGAGGTTGCAGACCGAGGCAGGTACAGTCACCTGTGGCTTAACGACGTGGATACGTTCTGAGAATTGCTTCTTTGGGTGATTTCATCATCGTGCGAACACGCTCGAGTGTACTGAAGGGAAACAAAATTTGCCACCCAAAAATGTCCCTAGCATAACATGAACCAGGTGGTAGACAGGGAGGAACCCAGAAAAGCTGGCTTGTTGGGCTCCCCTCTGTGTTCTTCTCTTTCTGGGTGGCCAAACACTTGTTTTCCAAACTTCGAGTCTTTTCACCTACCTGTGAATTGCCTTCCTTCCCTTTGAGTCCCCGATGACTCTCACCACCCCCAACATCTTCTTTTGTCTGTAGCTGAGGATGGTATTGAAGGTGAGGGCTTTGGCCATTTTGGTGTTACTCAGTTTTCCTGGGTTTCTCCCATGTTATTAAAACTTTTGTTTGTTTTTCTCCTGTTAATCTGTCTCATGTCAATTTAATCCTTAGACCAGCCAGAAGAACCTAAAAGGGTGGAGTAAAATTTCTTCCTCTCCTACAGTACTTATACAACTAGATGGTAGAGCCCACTGCACACCTAGGCTCCGTGGTACTAATCCTATGGGACCACCGTCATATATGCGGTCTGTGGTTGACGGAAGCGTGGTTATGTGGTGCATGAGTGTACAGGGTTCGGCCACTATGACATTGAGGAGGGACTCAGCTCTGGGTTCAAGTCCCACCTACTGCCCAATTCCAGTGTGTGCAAACTTGGTCAGGTTGTTTCCCATCTCTGAGCCGCAGTGTCCCTTGTGTCCTCTGTGGGGACCAAACAACAATAATGCCTACATTGTGGGGTTATTTTCAGGATTAAATGAACTTACAAAAATGCTTCACTCAATGCCTGGCACACAGAAAACACTCAGGAAAGGGCCATTCAGTTATTAGTATTTTTATCAATAGCAGCAGCAACCTCTGGTCCCTGTTAGCCCCTCTGGTGACAGCTTGCCTGTCTGAGCCACAGCCTATCCTCGTCCTGTGATGATCCTGCTGTCCTGCCTGTCCTTCAGCCTCAGATTGTCCTCAATTCCTCCCCCTCCCTCCCAATTCGTTTGCCCCCGCTCCCCTAACCTCCTCAGTCCGGCAGTTTCTGACTGCCAACTATTCCCCTATGTGTGCCCTCCCCTTCTGCTCCACCTCCTGCAACTAGCTCAGCTTAATCTCCCCCATGCTGGCCTTTCCTGCTGGGCTCACCGCCCCTACCCTTCTTGAACACACCTCCTTGACTTTGAACATGCTGTTCCATCTGCCTGGAAGGCTTTTCCTCCCTTGTTACTAGGTGAACTCCTACTCAGACTTTAAGGCCCAGATCAAATAACCCCCACTGCATCCTCAACTAAATAACCTCTCTTAGTTTCCATAAAATCAGGTACATTTCCCTACTGGGGGATCTTGTTGGGTGGGATTACTTAGGTGTGTGTCTCTGCCCGGCTAGACTCTGACCCCCATGAGGACTGTGTCCTGGCACAGTGTGTGTTCATTGCATTCTGTTGTGAGCAGGGCCCCTAGGACGAGGAAGAAAGGAAGCCCTGGGAGCTCCATTGTTCTAAGCCTCAAAGGAAGCTGGCTCGGCTCCGAAGAGGAGGGTGGGGAGAAATCCCTGGTGGGGAGAGTCAACATTGAAGAAGGAATTGGAGGGACCAGAGCCGACAGAGTGAGAACTACAAAGAAAACCTTGGTCCACCTGCCCTCCCAGGCTGTCTCAGAGCTAGACTGGACTTCCTCCCCCCTGGGGGGGGGGGGGGCGGGGGGCGAGTGTGTGCTGAGGCATGTGTGTGTGTATGTTGAAGTGTGTGTGTGTACACTGAGGTGTGTGTGTGCAGGGGGTGTGTGTGTACACTGAGGTGTGTGTGTGTACACTGAGATGTATGTGTGCAGGGTGTGTGTGTGTACACCAAGGTCTCCATGTCCAGTCCGGCCACATGGTGGCCTCTGCTGGCTGAGAGCTGGGTGGGAGTGAGCCCCAGGGGATGGGGAGGGATGGGATAGGCTACGTCAGGGTTGTAGATGAAGTTTGGGTTAAAAGGGAGGCTGGATATCAGCGTGAGGAAGGAGCTACCGAGACTGGATGGAGGTGAGCACCAAGTAGGGATCAGGAGTGCAGTGAGGTTGGTGCTGGGCTTGGCACTGGGCTTGGGTGGAGTTGAGACAGATTAGGGTGAAAGCTGGGTTACAATCAGCCTTAGGTTACTGGTTGGGGCTGGGGTAAAGTTAGGGTAAAATAAAGCGACGTTAGAGACAGGTGTTCCAGTTAGGGTTTGAATTGGGGTTTGGGTTAGGATCGGGGTTAGACTGGAGCTGAGGCTGGGGATGGGCGAGCGTCAGGGTTAGGTCTGGAGTCAGGGCTGCCGTTAGGATTGGGTTGAGGTGGAAATGGGAAGCGACACGGAGGCCGGTCTGGAGTTAGACTGGGGCCCCTTGGTGGGCTTGAGGTGGGAGCCCAGTCTGCAGCAGAAGTTGGCAACGTGGTTGGAGCTGGCTTTCTGACTGCAGTTGGATCTGGGACGAAGTGGGGCTTCCGCTGGGTTGGGGTTTGGTTTAGCATGAAGGATGGGCATGGGTGGGGCTGCCTTGGGCTGCAGGAGCCCTGTTTCTGGCTCGCTTTTGTTTCTGTCTTTCCCCTGCTGAGCTGCAGCGGGAGTGGGACACGGAGGGGGCTGCAGGGCCTGAAGCTTATTTCTCGCTTAGCACCCTGGTCGAGGCTCACCTGGAGCAAGGCAGGGGTGGAGTGGGGGGAGGTGGTGGGAGTGGCGTAGCTCTACGCTGTGGGAAAGAGGAAACGGCTCCTAGGCCTCAGCCCTTTGGGCTCTGCCCTACCCAGCCCCACCTCTGACGGCTGCCCTGGGAAATGGGAATGGCTCCTCTTCCCTGGCCCCCAGTTCCCTGGCCCAGCCCAGGCCCAGGCGTCAGTTCAGGCCCCCTCCTTCCCCTTCTGGTTAAAGCTGCGGGGCGCTGGATCTCAGGTCCTCCCAGTACCCCAGGCTTCCTAGCCCCCAGGCCACACCTGACTCCTGAGGCAGTGGTCCCCGGCACCCCACGCCCCTTGTCGTCCCTGATTGGGAGCAGGTGGGTCTGGGGTTGTTTGGGCTTCCCACATCCAAGGCCACCTCTTGAGGCAAGCTCTTGCTCCTCTTTCCAGACCATGCCACCCCCACTACCTGCCTCCCCACATGAAAACCCATCAGTGGCTCCCAAAAGCTTCAGGAGAAAGCCCGGACTCCCTGGCCTGGCATTCAAGGCCCTTCACAATCAGACCCCTGCTCAACCTTCAACCTGGATCCCAAAAGACCCCCAGGAGTGGGTCCGGAAGAAAGGGACCCCCACCTGGGTGCTGCAGGTGAAAGACCCCTGACTTTGGACCCAGGCAGGGCTGTGTTCGAGGAGTTTCAGCTGCCTCAGTGAACAGCTGTTGACCTTTCTGAACCTGAAAAATGGACACAGTGACAACTACATTGCAAATTTCGGATTGTCTAGGCAACTTTCCTCGCAACCCCTAGCCCCAGCGAGCCTGGGTTAAGACCATCCCCACCTCCTCTGGGCTCCACCCCTGCACTTCCCCATCTTAAAACTTACTGAACCACCTGTCTTGCCCACTTGCTTGCGAGCTCCGGAAAGCAGAGCCTGTGTCCTGCTCTCAGTGGCCCCAGCAATTCATACAGGGCCTGGCACTTAGCGGGTGCCCCCGAGCCCTCAGAGGATCAGGAAGCTGTGGTATTTGTAATAATCATAACGTGAACAATAGCAGGGAGCATTGATCGAGCACTCGCTCAGGGCTGTGTCCTCTGCAGGTGTGGAACCCAGACCATCGGGAAAGCCCAGCCACCCTTGCCCTCCGCCAGCGGTGACCGAGCCTCCTCCCGCTGTTGGCCGCCCTCTGGTCTCTGTGAGCATGCTCATGCTGTTCCTCCCGGCCCAGAGGTTGTTTAACTCTTGGGTTTGGGTGACCTCGACATGGTTCCAGGGCACACATTACAGCTGGGTCCACTAGGGCCCGGTCCTCCCAGTCCTGGCTCTGCTTCTGTGCAGGCTGGAGGCCTCGGCTGGCCCCCATAGGAAAGGCCTGGAGCAGAGCCAGCTGGGAGTCTGGAGACTGCCATACTGATCTGAGTGACCTTGAAGAGGGTGTGGCCCGCATTTCACAGCCTCCCCATCCTGCTTGTAAACAAGTCCTGGAGGGTGTAACAATCTCAAGTTCCTCTGAGAGTCCAGAACTGCCCCAGGAAGACATTACAATGTTTATGAACCTCCTAACAGCTCTGGAAATATATAGGAAATAATGTAGAACCCCATTTTTGTAGATGGTAAACTGAAGCTCAGAGACCCAGAGAGGTTAAGAAACCAGGACTTTCCTGAGGGTACGTACAGAGGTGCCGTGTACAGTTGTATTGATAGTGCACTGCACAAGGGCACCCAGCCAACAGAGACCATAAAAGTGGACACAAGCATGGGGCTACCTCAGCCTAGAGGAAGGCACAACTTTTCAGACTCATTGCCAGGTGAACTTCGTGGTGGCT